CTCCAAGAGTCTTGTGGTGAGAAATGTTGATGGAATGAGAGGGAAAATTTTGGGGTACAAAAGGAAGGCATAAACCATATATGAAAACACTTTCACATGATATAATATCTTTCTATCTCCTCATAGGTTCAAATGGAACACTAATCCGATACTCGGAACACAAGATATGAATCTCCAAAGTTATCCGAAAATTGGAACACCGACGTCATGCAGCGACACACTAACACACACCTTACGATAACATCAGAGCACAAATTTCTTTGTGCCAGTACCAACACTTACCATTCTTGAAATCATACTCATCTCCTCACATTTCTGACTCTGACTCGTGATTTAAAATATTCCAACTTCAACAACTTTTACAATCACTTATGTGATCCCAACATAAAAGTTACAACAACTTTATTACTCTATCATTGTTCAAACATCAACATCTTACACTTGCTTCGTAATTCAACAAATATTACACCGCTCTTCATTCTTCGAGAAGTAAGCACCAACAATGTATGATCAATTTCTATCAAGGTGCTCTAACTCGACTAACAACTAGACCTTGAATCCAAGTCACGTTCAAATTCGGGAACAACAAGACTCCAACAATTCTTGCATTGTCGTCGTCGGCAGCACACCGAATCAACACCTTTCAATTGAACATATTCGAGAAGTAAAGCTTCTCTCCCACTTATCTTCAACCAACTTCCTGCAATTAAGGCAAACAAGTACCGGCAGTTTTTCACACACTTGTCGTGCACTAAGGAACAAACAACATTAGACAACTTGGTCGGACGGGCCGACCTGCTCTTATACCACTAATGTAACACCCCATTTCTACCCGGCGGATAATAAGAAAATCAGAGTTCAACATAAATAGGATGCTACATTTTCAACTAAAAATCAATCTTCATTTAATCGCATACAAACAGATAAGTAACACTTAACTCGGATGAACCGATAACAATCTGATTTATTCTTCAAAATCAAACAACTTTTTATTGATAAGCAACGAAATATACATACTCAACTTCAATTCACTTAACATCTTTTATTCAACTAAAACAATTTCAAGACTACAATTATTTCATGTAATCAACTTAAAAATTCAGCAACTGAGATAATAATCAACAAATAAACATCAAGCGTTCATCCCCCCGAGTGCTACGTATCAGAGAGACAACACTGACTCGAACTAACGAGGTAACAACTATCCTTCTTGATTACCTGCACATTACCAACAGAGGGCAACATTCAAATAAAAGGGGTGAGATATCTAACAATATAATAAAACGTATGATAAATAATATGTAAGATCAGCTCATATAATAACACCACTTCACATCTCATAAACAACAATAATCGCAACAGAATACCAACAATATACACATTTACCGCATCAATACACAACTTCTTTATGCAATCATATAATGCGACTCAATATTATGCAAATGCATGTGGTACCATTGGAGTAGAACTCTCATCTCAAAATAATTACCAATAAATATAGACATCAATAAGGCATAAGCCTTCATCTTAATATTCGCCAATACAGGCCATCTTAACGAGCATCAGCTCCATCTTGATATGAAATGTATGCAACAAATCATGAATGTAGTAACAACAACCATAATTAACAACATCTCAACACAACATCATCTTTGGTCAGAAGCCTACATCTTAATAGCTACCAATTATTAGAGGCATCTCAACATCATTCATCAACGTAATTCATCAACATGATTCATCAACATAATTCATCAACATAATTCATCTACATAATTCATCAACATAATTCATCAACATAACTCATCAACATAATTCATCAACATAATTCATCAACATAATTCCACAGTAACTCAGTCATAACAACAATATAACGATAAATTGAAAATCCCTCAACGTTGGCCATAGGCCTACCACATGATAATGCCTATAATTAGTTAATCGTCTAAGGCTTATCTCTAATTACCAAACCTCTATATATTATTATTCTGTAATACTACATCATTATTATTATTATTATTTTTATGAACAACACATTAATCTAAGATCGTCCTATTCCTCAGCATACTTCACAAAATCATCATAACGATTAACGCAGGAAGCTAACTCTAATCCTAATTTGGGTACTAGGATTATTATTCTTATCCTTTATTTTTATATTTAAGAATGAAGTTCATCACGTTAGCTATTCAACGCTTCAAACGGAACCTCAAACGGAGTCCAGAAACTCAAGTTACAGCCTTTAGAAGAACCTGTCAAAAATCAGACTACATGAGTCGACGCATGTCTCTTTGAGTCGACGCGTACTGGGATTTGAGTCTTGCATGAGCCAACGCATAACCTCTTGTATCAACTCATACTGAGTCTGAAACACTGCATGTGTCAACGCATGATCCCTATGTATCGACTCGTCCTGAGTCTTAAATCCTGCATGTGTCGATGCATGGACTTTGAGGTCGACTCATACTGACCTGTCATGAATATATTCTGCAATTTCACTGCGCTTTCACTGTGATTTCCTTGCCTTAGGCCCTAAAAATATTCTCTAATCATAGGTAATCATCAATTATAATAATCATATGTTTCTACAACAATTATACATCATTAGGGCATAATTATTCATCTCTAAATCATTGATCCTCATCAAACAACAATATATATATTTCAATCATAAATAAAACAACTTTTCAAATCCAATCCAACATACTACTCATCATAAACCCAATTATAAAGTCATAACCTCACCCTTACCTTGGATTTAAGGTTGCTCTACAACTTTTTCGGTTGAATTCTGTTCTGGCTCTTTTCTTTCTTTTCTGCAACTTTCACGTTCTCTTTGTCTCTTCCAACCCTTATTCTTCTTCCTCTTGACAAAACCTATTTTTTTCTTACTGTCATATCTAATTTCAATTATTATAACGAAACTCAATAATAATAGAATTATTTCTCTTGGGCTTAATTCTGACACCCCCTTAGTACTACATACCACCATATGAAATAGGTCCAACAACATAATCTTATATTATTCCATTAATTCCAACATTATTATTATTATTATTAATCAACTACTTAATTAATTAATAATAATCTAACAACTTATATCAACAATCCACAATATCTCGCAACTTCAACAATTAATCCAAAAAAAATAATTTAATTAAATAATTAATTAAATTAACGGACGTCACATTACCCATGAAGGACATCATTATGAAGTAAGGCGAAGAGATTTGATGGGATGCGCGCCCATCATGACATTTGAAATCCCACTATTGCTTGCTAGTTGTGGTATGACCATTAGATTAGGATAAGACTGACTGCATAAGTCGTTTAAAGAATTTCAGGGGTCTTCTTTACTGAACACTTCGGCTCGTTGGGTCTTGTGATGGGGGGCTTACGTACATCCCAAAATCCTCAAGACGACCTATAAAGTCGGATACGAGATGTGAGGCATAAGGCAATATTGCTATTTAGAAACTGGTATATGGTATAAAGCCGATATATGAGACCGGGCCGTGAGAAGTGTACGTTAGCCGGAAAAAGACGAGGTATATAGTTAGAGAGGTCAAAGGTGTACTAGGTCGGGTGGTCGTGATGTTTGGACAGTTTGACGGTTACAAAAGACCAAAGGTTGCATGAACGTTAATAGGGACATTATGCCTCATGATCACAGGTTGCCTAAAAATGTTACTGAAGACGTTATGCCTCATGCTTATGATGATAGAGATTAAACCTTGTGATTTATGAGAGGATTTGAGAAGTCACCTCTTAGTGAAGGTATGCCACAAGAGTAGAGATATAAAAAGGGACCTCCCTTGAAGGGAAAGGACAAACATATATCACGTATCAGCAAGATACAACTCTCAAATACACATAACAGTTGCAGCCCTGTCTGATTCACTTCAGGAGGGTTATCCAAACATGGTTTACATGAATACTTTTGTTGGTTAATTATTTGTTTTAGTTTTGTTGTAAAATTATAAGGTGTATGCTATTTTGGCTTTGCAAATGGTGTAAACAATGAATTTTTTGTACAATATTTTTGTTTGAGGAATGGACAAAAAGTACAATGTTTATGTTTCAGAAATGGGTAAAACATGATTCTGTAATACATGTTCAAATGAAAATAGAGAAAAATAAAAATAAAATAATAATGTTTTTCCCTCGGTTAATACTTCAAATCGAGGTAATAATAATGCTCTAGTATTTCAATTTTACTTTCAACTAAGATCATATTTTGGTTGCGCCATCCAATTTAAAAATAATAAAAATACAGTTACTGAGGATCGAGCTCATGTGCAGAACACTTTATCCCTCAACTATAAAAAATCGAGAGATAAAGTGACAAATTTTCATAACGTTATTCGTTATTTTACTTGTGTAATCGAGATAAAATCTTTTTTATACTCAAGATTAAATGTGTTTTTTTTGTAATAATGTAATATTAAATTAATTTTTTTCTTCTTAAAAGTAAGATATCGTTGAAATAGAGTAGAATGGGTACTCTTCCCATAAACAAAACGTACCAACCAAACCCAAAAAGGGAGAAATTCCACACCAACGAAAACTTAAGACAAACAACTTAGAGGATTGATACAAAACTCTAAGAAACTAAAGTTGGAATGCAAAATTTCTTAAATCAAATAAAAATTGCAAGTTGTAAAATGAAGTTTGTTTAATTTTACAAGTTTTTGTAGAATCTGATCCTATCTACCTGTTCTTTTGAAAACCTTCATCTCTTATTAAGCCGCTAAATTTGATAATTGAAAAGCCATTATATTGTAGTAGTTATATAAACTAGTTAATTAATTTAGAAAAAGCAACCTCATTATCCTAACAAAGCATCTCAAACTCAAAACACTGTTTTTCTTATCTAATAGTTCATAATTTTCCATCTTTCCATTTATACCCCCCTAACAAACAAAACAAACACTATAAAACAAGCCTATTGCACCTCTTCCAAATTGCACTTAACCCCACAACACAATCTTACAAAACCATCCATGGGTAACAAAAACTCATCAAACTCAAAACCACATGATGAGACAACAAAGATTTCTTCAATTGAACATGTTCCAAAAGAAAACATGATGAGTTTTCCAACAGAACAAGGGCATAGAATCAAAGGTTCGACAACAATAAGAGATGATGAATACATAGGGAAACTCGAGGTAGAGACACCACTTGATAATGATGAAACATTCAACAGTTTCATTCGACGTGCTAAGCAAAAAATCCGAACAGTCACAACGTTCAAGTCCGACATTGATAGGGAGCAGAGTTGCAAAACTGCAGCAGCACGACCGGATCAGGAGGTTAATGTTGGTGACAACAATTATAAGGAAAATCATCAAAGGGAGCAGTTTGATGATTTTATTCAGATTGCTAAAAAGAAAATGAGAGCCACATCAAGCATTCGAAATAATAGTTTCTGGAAGAAGCCATGAAAATTGTTGAATTTCTTGCAAAGTTTAATGGTGACTAAGTGTTTTTGCTTCTGATCTTCATTGTTACATGAAAATAAGGTCTCACTATTGGGACATGGTTTGAGTCTTTTTTTTTTTTGTTTTTACTTGGAATATGATATGAAGTGTAGAAGAATAATTTGGGTTTTATTAGGGTAAAATTATAATAATGATTTCCTTATAACAAAATAATATATATTAATTTGTACTCCTAAGTTCCTAACCAAAAAAAAAAAAAAGAAACTTCTATTTATAAAAAAGTTATTTTAAGTTACATATATTAATATACAAATAAAATTTTAAGAAGATGACTATATTAAATATACACATTAAGTTTATTAACTACTTATTTTAATATATAGATAAAATGTTAGGGTGCTAATATATAGGTTGGGCTTTTGAATTATGCCAATCTTATTGCAATGTTTGATTTATACGGAGTGGTTGATCCCTAAGTGCTTGTTCTTAGGGGTGTTCACTGTTCAGTCTGGATCGGTTTTAAAGTAAAAATTTATTCGATTCAAAAATAAATTCATTTGCGGTTCGATTTGGTTTTGGACGATATATATAAAAATTCAATTCAATCCGATCTAATTTTATACGGTTTAATTTGGATCGATTTTTAAATATCCAAATTACACATTATATTTTTATTAATATTATAAAAACAACTAATAAATCATAGATTTGATATAATATATAACATATAATATATTAAAAGTTAATATTACAAAATGAGAGTGATCGATTATAGTTGAAATAATAAAAATAAATAGATTATACTAAGCTAATAAATATTATTAAAAAAATTATTATCATCTAATAATAAATTCACACAACATATTATACTAATAAAAAGTAAATAAGTATAAAAATATATGTATGCGGTTCGGTTTGGTTTGGATCAGTTTTGAAAAATTCATCCGAAATCCAATCCGAACCGATCAGTTTTCATAAAATGACATTCAAACACATCCAATAAACTTTGATTTTTTGCGGTTTTCGGTTTTTTGAATCGGTATTTGGTTTTTTATTTGGATTGGTATGGATTTGAACACCCTTACTTGCTACCGTGCACGAAGTTATGATTGTTATAGAAGTATTGAGATCGGTTCATGGGGTGCTCTTCTTCATTGTTTTGTGGTATTCATACACCATTTTGAACTAGGATAAAGGCTAGTGGTATGTTAAGTAGGAGTATGTGGCTTTGGAAACATGTATATTAAATGCTTGTGTTGTAATTGAAATGTTTCGCAAGGTAAGTCTTCCACGAGACCCTAGATAGAGGATAATATCTTTAAAGTGCTTGGGTGTCGTTACGAAATTGAGATTAAAATTGGTTTTTCGATCGCGTTTTTGGTGTTTCTTTAATTCTTGATCGTAGAGTATTGGGTCACCAGTTGCCTATATGTATACCAAAAGGGAGAGATCGACCTTTCTTTTTGTCTTCTTCGTCTACAAAACATTATTCTTTTTTGCTTTTATTGCTTCCTTTAAGTTATCTCACCTTTCTTTTTCATACTTTTCTTCTTCTATTGCAAAACTCTTCTCGAATTTTTGGAGATTCAATTCTCTTATCTTGCAAAGTTCATAGTATCTTAAGGTAATAATCTTTTTTGTTATAGCCTCATTTGTTCTTTGCTAAAATTCTGGGTATGACTGTTATAGGGAACCCAACGACTGATAGTGTCGTGAAGGGTGAAGCGTTTCTGCTAGAAGTGACCTCACAAAAGATGCTAGATGTTTTTCTTTCATATTCTTGCATTTTTTCAACTAAGAATGCGTAAATGATTTTATGTGAGAGAGGAAAGCTCAAACCTATAATAGGGCGGATAAATGTACTTTAGGTTGTGACCATACTGATAATGAAGTTGGATGGTGGATAGAGTCTCAGTAGTGTGCATGTACTTATGATCGTTCCTTTTTTGTCTCTTCATAACAGAGCTTCAATGGACCGAGAGGATAAACAAAATGGTTAAATTCATGAGGCCGACAATCAACTCTTTTGGGTAGTTCAAGAGAGGCCAAACATGGTCTTTATGTTTGCTGGAGAAGGGGACTAGATATTTCCATCACTGGAGTGGTCCATTCCTTAAATTGGGGGGTGTTGTCTCCAAAGAGTGGCAAGAGGTTGTGGAGTCGTTATGTAGAGGGTGTTATTCCTTGCCACAAGTGCCTTTTCTCTTGCATTGGGTTCTGACTCCTCTATTATTATTTTGAGGTGATGATTCATATTCATTTAGTGATCACCGTGTCGCAACTATATTTTGTAACTTGGGCCTATGTCAAGGTGTTCCAATACTGTTGTGAATACAAGAAAGGTGTCCCAACTATGATACTTTTATTTCATCTCTTCAATATACAACGAACTTCGGCTAAATCATACATGGGTCAAGGTTTTCTATTTCTTAGCCAGGGTCAAAATATGTTTGGTGTATACGTCGAAAGTTAGAAGAACTTCAAGGACATATGTTACATGGTCACACTCCTTACCAATACTTATCACAAGAGCAACTGCGAGATTCCGACAAGGGTCCCCTTAATACGTATTGACAAATTAGTGACAAAATCACTTCATGGTTGGATTGAGATCTCTTATATATTAGATCGATGATATATCTCAAGAAGAGAAGTACACGAGGAATAAATACCAAGAGTGAACGAGTTAGGATTAGCATTTCTGCATGCAATGTTCTAGCATCATTTATCGTGTGACTTCTCGTAACGGGTGGTTTATTGCTTTAGTCATACACTTTTGGGAATGGGAACCCTCTAGTGATAGATTCTATGAAGTTGCAGCCTACGGTGATGGAACATATGAATAATTGTTTTCCTCTTCGAACTTAATCTTCAGTTTCACTCTTATCCTTGATTTTCCCCCCGAAGTTGTTGCCCCTTCTGATGGAAACTATGGTTGTATCTAAGTCTGGCATATCTTAATATGACGACGTGAATAAATCCACATAATCTTGCAAGATTTTTACCATTTTCTCTCGTTCACTCTCTTTCATTGAAATACCAAATTTGATTTCTTTTTTGTTATGTTTAGTGTCGCAGCGGGAAAATTGAGATGAAGCTATTGATTAACTTAACTTAGAAAAATCAAGGGTCTCCATCGAAATTTATTGTTTCCAAAGGGAAAAGGTCAAAAAACCCACAAAAAGTTTTGAAAACCAAAACAAAAGAGATATTTAGGTACGGGGGTTGGTTATGCAAGGGGGAGATATTAACATCCATCACATCTATGGTACTCCATAAAAACCACTTGAATTTTTTTATGAAGTGTGCTTTTGTTTGTTGATTGTTTTTAGGTGAAAAAGATATTTTATCATATTCGAGTGGAAAACTCAATTTACTACCCACAAGTATGAGGAAATGAGCATTTTCATCATCTTGATACGGAGAATTTTACTTGGATTTACTCAACAAGAATGTCTCAACATTCAAGTGGAAAATATCAATCAATTTCACATCATATTGTAGAATTATATGAATTTGTATCATCTAAACAATAGACTCATATCCTTTATTTTAAAAAAAGGGCCTGGTTTAAAAAGAAAAGTGTACTAAGGCACAAAAAACAAAAAAGAAGTTTAATGAGTTTTGTATTTTTTAGGAGTTTTGAAAAAAGTTTTAGTATGCTTAAGTGTTTTAGCATTTATTAAGAAAAAGATTTTATGGATTACTTTACAAAGTCAAGGTTTGGTTAAGAAAGCGGTTAAATTGGAAAATAATAAGTTTTTGAAATAGGGAGCAGATTTTGAAAATTAAAGAAGGGGAGAAGATGAAGGGACTATCCTAAAGCATAAAGTAAAGGAAATGAAATAAATGGTCTCATTGTAAGTTAGTACAACAGAAAGCCTTTGTGTGTATAAGTGAACTAACTACAAGAAGAGCAAACATTTGACATTGGTCAAAACCAACATTCCTTTCCCTTTGGAGTAAGCCATAAGATAAACAATAAGATCCAGATGAAAACATAAAGCATCAGATGAATCATATTATATCAGATAAAAATCCCAATCATTAGATGAAAATCAGAGGTCTTAGATAACACACTATTGTACCCTAAAATTTTCCCTCTCATATTATCAAGATTTTCCTCACAAGACTTCTTGGACTCCAGACAGGATTAGGGTTTGCTCAGCTTAAGACATCTCCTTGCACTAATGACCTGAAATTAGGGTTTGAGTTTGCACAAGGATTTTTGGACCATCAATGCTTAATGTGACTTTCATACACCATCTTGGACCCCTAAGATTGCCCATACCAAGTTTCAAGCCTTGAATCACATTTTTGACCAGTCAATTGGACAGTTGACCTAAAAATCAGCTGTATTGGGGAAAAAGTCAACCATGACCAATTTACAGTCAAAATTCATGATTTTTGATGCAAATCAACATTCTAGGCTCCTATGTAACATTTGATCAAGTTTGGATCACAACTCCTCAAGAAATTTGATCAGATCATCAAAAGGTCAAAATGGTCAAAATTAGGGTTTTGACTGAGAAAGGGCAATTTCTGATTTTTGACCTAGACAATGACCAATTGGGTTCAAGCATGATTTCAAGGACTCAATGGCATCATCTTGACCTAATCACATAGTTCAAAAGATCTCAAATGCATAGGATTGACAGATGAATTTTGCAGTCAATTGATCAAAAGTCAATTGTGCACTGAAAAGTCAAACTTTGACTTTTTGGTCGAAATCAAGTGCCAAGGGTCATAATTCATCAAGATTTGTCAAAATATGAAACTTGTTGATCAAGAAAACCAATTTTTAAAATTAGGGTTTTAATTTGAAATTTTTCATAACTTAGAATTTTTCTAAGTTATGGAAAATTTCTTATTTTCCCCAACTTTCCACAACCTTTTCACCATGATGCAATTGGATTCAAAGAAAACTTCCAACATGAAAGTTGTAGTCCTAAATTAAATCTACAACTTTGATTCACAAAGTTTTTCCAAAAGATTCTTGGATC